CACCGTCAACATATTATAAACATGTAAACAATATGTTGAATGTCGATGAACGATTCCTAAGAAAATGCAAATGAAATATTTTATTGTTGTGGACTTTATATACTTCAAGAGTAGGAATGACAACAATATCAATTTATATCTATTGTTGATCGTACGTATCTATTTATCGTATGGTACATCTAAATACAATACACATGCCTCGGAAATGTCGTATTTTTTATTAATGGATGATAAATTTAGGGTTCTCGTTCTCTTACATATCTTTTAGTTCTTCTACTCTTTAACTGGAATGACAAATACATTTAACATTTAAAATTGGATTGAGATTGGCATGTTTTGTATTATCCGAAACGCCATGGATGCTGTCCCAGTCAGACGACCAAACGCGCCTCTAATTTTGAAGAGTTCACTAATGGAAATAGAACGTATCCATTCATGATAACACTCTAATCTACGCTTTTTATTACGATGCCTTATGAGTATTAGACCAGCAATCCTTTTTTGATTGTGTTTAAATACATAATTAATATTTTTATGAGGAAGAGGGTCATGTACTTGAAGAATATTGACCCTCCCCCTTTCACATGAAATAGGTTTTTCGGATTTTAGCAAGTTGTTTACGTTTTGTTTTTATGCCCCATATCGAAGATTCGAGGGTATATAGTTTTTGCATTGTCCGTCCGTCTGTCTGTCTGTCTGTCTGTTTGTCCGCAAAAATTTTAACATTGCCCATAACTTTTGATTGGTTGGAGTTATGGCTTTCATATTTCACAAGTGCATTCCTTGTGACAAGACCTTTCTTTGGGTACCACCATATTTGACCTTTTGACCTTGACCTTGGAGTTTGACCCAGTTTTGCAAAATTTTTCCCAACTTAAACCTTGGCCATAACTTTTGAACAATTGGTGCTAGGGCTTTCATACTTCACATGTGTATTCCTTGTGACAGGACCTTTCTTTGGGTACCACCATATTTGACCTTTTGGCCTTGACCTTGGAGTTTGACATACTTTTGAAAAACTTTAACCTTGGCCATAACTTTTGAACGGTTGGTGCTAGGGCCTTCATACTTCACATATATAATCCTTGCGACAAGACCTTCCTTTGGATACCATTAACTTTGACCCTTTGACCTTGACCTCGGACTTTGACCTCTTTTCGAAAACTTTAACCTTGGATACAACTTTTGAAAAGTTGTTGCTAGGGCTTTCATATTTAACATGTTTTTTCCTTATGACAAGACCTTCCTTTGGATACCAACAATTGTAATCGATCCTGAACTTGGAGTTTGACCTACTTTTGAAACACTTTAACCTTGGTCATAACTTTTGAACGAATGGTGCTTCAGCTTTCATATTTCACCTGTATATTTCTTGTGAGAAGGTTTTTCATTAGGCACCATTAATTTTGACCTTGACCTTGATGTTTGCATTACTTTTGAAAAACTTTAACCTTTTCCATATCTATCAATGGTTGCTGCTAGGGCTTTTATATTTCACAGGTATATTCCTCGAGACAAGACCTTACTTTGGGTAGCAACATATTTTATTTGCATTTGAGAAAGTTTAACCTTTGCTATAAGTTACCATACGGGGGCATCAGTGTTTCACAAACACATCTTGTTTCTTTGTTTTTTTTCCGTTTTTTTTTTGTTGTTTTTTTGTTTTTTTTTTTGTTTTTTTTTGTTTTTTGTTTTTTTTTTTGTTTGTTTGTTTGTTGTTGTTTTTTTTTTTTTTTGTTCTTTGTTTTTTTTTTTTTTTTTTTGCTTGCTTCTCAAAAAATTTCCGAGTCTGACATGTGGAAATATCCCCCACTCTAGAAAAAAAATTCTGATCCCAACCCTGATTCCTGAGAACATTTAAAATTGTATACAATGCAGGTCAGTGTTCGAGGACAGAGGAGCATCGTTTAATGGTGTTTGAAAACTTTTGAAGAATTTATGCTGATTCAAACTTTCTCCTAGGCACACGGTATAGCGATTGGATAAAAGCCTTTTGTTTTGTGATTTTTTAAACTTTTGATAAAGGCGTTAACCACTACTCTGCTCAATCTACAAGTGAAGTGTGTCAATTCGCTTAAGTTAACTAGTTTGTTGAGACATATCAATTTTTCTTTTGAAAAAAAATCGATTTTCATACAGAATATATTCAGATTCCTTTTATTTTTAATCAGCTAATTCTTTGTTTTACATTTACTTTCCCGTCAAATAAGCGTTTATGTAAAATAAAAACTTGACCATTCATATTCCAAAAGCATTTTTATGGCTATAATAGACTCATTTTCCACTAAATATGCTTAACAGTAACTTAACCAAATTATCAATCAAAAGTCATTCAATAAAATAAACAAAACAAATGTATTGTAGATGACACTGGAGACAACACAATTTTTTGAAACATACAGCATTGTTATACATTGGGATTCAAACTTATCTTGGGAATATGTTAGGTTATTAAAAATATTTTTTCTTAAAGTGGCACGGCTACACTAAATACATATAGTCGCAGAATTGAATAAATCCATGTTGTTATTTATTTTTTCAAATGATAGACCATTTAATTAAGGTGGGTTGAAAATTCCAATTTAATATATTTTATAAACATGTATGTATATAAGAAAAAAAATTTAAATCGTCACTACTTCTCACACAGTTTTGGCATGATGTCAATAAAACATGGTAGTCAAGTAGACTACATTAAATTGCACGATTCTTTTCATCGGTCATTGATTTCAACGAACGATGTTGCCATGTTTACTTAATGCAAATTCCAGTGAATTTACTTCAAAACGACACTACATATATTTCTATTCATATTTAGTTTCAATTTTTTTTAAAAATAATAATAAACTTGGTACAGAAAAGGACACTATATTAGTATTGCAAACCAATCAATAATCATGGCCGTAGGAACCGGGGGGGGGGGGCACGGGGGGGGGCGTGCCCCCTCAATAATTTTGCCGATATATAGATTACTATAGTAAACATAGGTAGTATATGCTGGTGCCCCCTCAATAAAAACGTCTGATGCCCTTTTTTTTTTTTGCTTATCAGGAAATTTTTTTGGTAGTGCCCCCTTAACTGTCAGCTGAAAAATGTATGGCTGTGCCCCCTAAACTGAAATTGCTTCCTACGGGCCTGCAATAGCAAGCAGTACGATGGTTTAGTCTACTTCCATACCAAGTTCTAATAAAATCAGAAATGTTGGGAGTATAGTAGTATGAAAAAATAATTTCACACTTTAGTCTTTTTTGTGGGCCAGGGCTTCTAATGTAAGGACGGGGCTCTATTGGTTATATTGTGAAAATGCATTATTTCTTTGAAAATCTTCTCTGCCCCTGAATATTTACCAAACAAACCAAGAGGATAGTTATGATAAGAAAGGTTGCCTCTTCAAAATTGCATGCGAAATTCATGGCCCTTGGATCAGGGTTTTTTAAGGATTGACTCTATCGTGTCTATTGATTATATAGTTAATTCTTTGAAACTCCTCTTCTTCCGGGCATCTAGGGAGCAAACAGATTACAAAAATGTAATGAGCAAGGGTGTTTTTACAAGATTTGAGAAATGTTATACCACTGGGTCAAGTGTTCTGGTGCTGGGTAGGGTACGTTCTGTTAGTGTTCTGGTGCTGGGTAGGGTTCTGTTGATATTGTAAGGAAATTTGTACTCTCCTGAGAGAGGTTATTCTCCTTGCTATTCATCTATGTTAATTAGTTATTACAAATAATGTAATTGATGTCAAATTGAATAAAAGAATTTAAAAAGAATTTTAAATGTATAAATGTATAACACAAAAGCACTTTCATAGTTTTAATGGTCACGTAGAGTTGTAAATAATAGATACTATAGTAAATAAAAATGAGACAAAATGCATATCTTTGTACATTATACATTCTTCGAAGTCCAAGAGTGGCCTATGTATGAGGGAATGCAAAGGCTTTACTGCATATTCTCAAACACTGTATCGTGTTATTTAGTGTGCGTAATGATAGTGACAAACTGGCAAGTCAATAGATTCACTTGATTTATGAGTACTAGACTAACTATTTTGTTGATGCTTGATCATCCTATTTCGCTTGCACTGGCGCAGCATATCCTCATCTCTCAGTTTATTTTGTTTTATTTCATTTATCAGTAGATCCTTTACAGTGTTATATTATACTCAGGTGACCGGTAAGGCCCTTGAGCCTTTTGTTACAAGTACAAACTAGTAGAGCTACACTCGTTAGATCAGTGAGATAAACAGCAAAATATTAATCATCCAATGCTTATTTGTTTAGACTACTGTACTCTAGAGTCTGTCACTCCAAGTTCAACACGTAATACGGTCTCACCTTGTGATTTGTCTCCTTCATCAAATAAAAACATAACAACAAGAAATAGATGTTTTAATTTTATTGAAAAATCCAAACAAGTATTTACAATATTTCAAAAAGAGAAAACAATATATTATGCCAAGTCTTCATAAAAAAATAAATAAGTAAACGAAACAATGAACATAAATAAGATTAAAAAAAAACTTATGTCGTTTATAAATGTAACCGATGAATTTCATTTTAAAATTAAAAAAAGTAAGATCCAAAAAAGAAACAATTCATAATGATATTATTAAAGAATCAAAATTTGTAAATATGAAAAAGGAAAAAAAAATGGTAAAAACATTTAAATAAAAAATATATATACTTGTATATAAAAAGAAAAGAAACAAATCAAAACAACAAAACAAACAACACTAAAATTCATAATTTAGAATAAAAAAGAAACATAAACAAAATAAAAACATGACAAAAATAATTTTCATATTCCAATCTAAAATTTGTAAGATAGCAAAATTATAATCAAAATTATTTACAGTGATTCAGAATGAACTATGTACATATATACAAATGAGTATAGTACCAATTACCCGTGTGAAATGTGTAAATCACGCAAAACCCACCAACCCAAACCACACGTCAGAAGTCATGTCAGATGTACAGTCACACAGGTAAAAGTTGGTACACCTTTAGGAGAGCTTACAAGCTCATGGTACCAAACATCTGCACCAGGCACTGTATTTCCATCTCCATTGGAGAAAACTAAAAAAAGAAAGAAAAGAATTCAAATAAATAAAACAATTTAGAAAAATTGCTTATACAAAATTGTCAAGAAGAACACATATTTAAAAAATATGCATACCAAGGCAGTCTTCAGTCTCTTTGAAGGCACGAAAGGTTGGTCTGGTCTCTTCCGCTTCCGGGTGGACTGGTCCTAGAATTAACCAACATAAAAGTATCATACACAACTATCACACAGACATATACAAATATTCATAATCATTCTGTGTAGCTTTATTTAATTAAGACTTTCTTCAATACCTCAACCCCTGTCTGCTGTGTCTCTGTGCAGCTTGGAGTTGGAGAAACCAGGGGGAGTCCACTGGTATCTATGCTGCTGTCCCCTTCTGCCTCCTCATCTTCCAGCCTTTCTGTCCCACTCAGCTTGCTGTCAGTGACCTGAATGAAATAATTATTGCATTTCACATTACTTTCCTTTCTCCTTTTTTTGTATCTGCATAAAGCAGGCATAATTGCCATCTCAATTATTGACTCTCAATTGTTTAAAATTATCTCTCACATTACAAACATTAATTTCTAAAGGTTATTCTTACTGAAATATATGTTAAAATTTTGTTTGGTTTGAGTAGAGTAATGATACTCATTTTGATTGCACCTACCCTGTCAGTGACAGCTTTTTGCTCATCAGAGGGAGGGATGGGACGAGTCTCAGCAGCTGGGGAGGATTCTCCATCAGAGGGAGGGACGTCATCACCCGCGGAAGATCCAGAAGTGACATCTGTCCGTCCCTCAGATAGTTCAGTCTGACCAGTGGAGGATCCTACAACCTCCTGGAAAAGGGGTACCAAAGTGTGATAGTGCATGCGTGATTACAGTAAAAATGCTTTGTAATTTATGTCAATTCATTAAAACAGATGATAATAACGAACAGATTCTATGCATAATTAAATGATATACTTAGCATGTCAATGATTGCTTTATATAACACTGTACATATACTTACATCAGCAGTAGCCTTGATCTCTGGCTCTAGTGATGGCTATTGTAAGGAAATTTAAAAAAAAAAAAGAAATCAATTACAAACACTTATTGTAAAATGAATTACTCTCAAATTCCCTAAGACCAGGTACATATCCCTAGCCCAAACAGCTTTATCTAAACTAGTAAAAAAGAACAAATAAAGGTATTGAAGACTGAATGGAGAACATCATCCCCTTCTCCGATGAATAATACCCTCAACCCCAATTTAAAAGACATGGGACAAGTAACAGTCTCTTCAATGATATTGACTTTAGAATATCAACATATGCGGCAATTTAAAAACAAAACCTTGTATCTGAATGGTGAAAAAAAAAAAAAAATTACCTTTTGACATTTTACCCATAATTCCACACTACTGTCTGCCTGCAGTTCCTCTCGGTTCCAGAGGTGATAACACAGGAAAACTCGGTTACTGCAGCTTGGACTCGTTTTTGTTTTTGCCGGTGTTTGTTGTTGACATTGTTGTTTTTGTTTTTATTTATTTCAATTTTGAAAATATCTCTATCGAAAGCAAGAGGTCCATGGGCCTGGATGGTCACTTGAATATCTGGAGTTTCTCATGCTGATTACTTTTGGACTCGTGTGATATAAATTTACAGTTTGGTGAGGATTCTATAACTCTTATTTCAGTGTGGTTGAGCCAGTCTGTCTCCAAATAATACTTAAGACAGATTTAATTTATAAATAAATTTATTTACATGGACCAGAAGTTTCAGACGAGACTGTAGCTCTACTAACTTTCTTATCATAAAGAAAGTTATTTAATATAGTCTACTTGTGAAACAATTACATGTCTTATTAAATCCGACCAAAACTGTAGGAAGAGAAATGTTGTGGAAGAATTTCAAAAAACTTCTTTTTATAGTATCAAATGGCAACACCGATTGAAATAAAAAACCGATAAAAAGAATATTTGAGTATACAGTATAATCTACTTATGTACCAAGTCTTACTGAAATTGAAATAAAACCGTAGGAGGAGGAATTATGCATGTATTTCAAAGTTTAGTAACCATGGTAACACCGTTTGTCACAATGAAAAAGCGAAATACAGAATTATGTATTTAGCATAGTCTACTTGTGTACCGTTTTATTGATACTGGACCAAAACTGTAGGAGAAGTAAGGTTTGAAAAAAATTCAAAGAAGTTTCTATTTTTAGTAACCATGACAGCACTATTGGTCAAAATCAAAAATCGATAAATTGAAAAATGTATCTTTTTACAGTCTACTTGTGTACCAAGTCTTATTGACTTCAAACAAAAACTGTAGGAGTAGCAGCGTTTTGAAAGAATTTCAAAAAAGTTCTATTTTTAGTGACCATGGCAACACCGCTTGTCGAAATCAAAAACCAATATATGTTTCTTAGTATAGTCTACCTGTGTACCAATACTTATCGAAATCGGACCAAAACTGCAGGAGTAGCGTTTAGACGCCACCACTTGCCGGTGGATAGCTGCAAATTTTGTCCTATGCTCGGCACTTACGGCCATTGAGCAGTGAGGGATCTTTATCGTGCCAGCACCTACTGCGACACGGGACCTCGGTTTATACGGTCTCATCCGAAGGACCGGTCTCCACGTCCCACAGTGGAATTCGAACCCGCGAGTAGCGTTTAGAAAAAAAAAATGATTACAGACAGACGGACGGACACCTTACTAATGCACAAGTGCTTCTAGTCTCTGACCAGCTGAGCCTAAAGTATTTACAGTTGTTCACTCACATACACACTCACACACACACACTCTTTCATTTACAATGACAACAGTGACCAGGAAAAAAAATGACACAGAGTCAGAGAGACAATGGCAAGGCATTTTTAATTTACAAGCTTACAAGTATTTTTTGACGTTTCATGAAGTGTCTATAATTTTATTGCCAAAAACACAGTTAAGTTATGCTTCGACCTATAGAGACCACTTCACAGTTCACCATGATAACCGGTTAATACGAGTATGATTCCAATTGTCACTTTTATCCACCATCAGTTATTCCAGGGTTGTAGTCCTGGACCTTTTGTAACGTGGTACCCGGACAAGCGTTCCCTCTTTGATCCCCTTTCCTACTCCATGACCAATTTCATAACGAGAGGTTTGCTTTCCGTGTCCGAGTTTTGAAATGGTTCAAACTACCAGTATAAAACAGCCCCAAACTTGCTGCCCGGAAAATCGTTACACGGCGCCACACCCGGGAATAGTTTAGTTTGCTCAGCAACACGTCACACATGACCGCGTGTTAACAGAGAATTATGGGTACAACCCTGCCGCATTTAAGGACTGTATAGCTAACCTAATACACTTATAGTTGTTACAAATATCACAGATGACAATTGTTTTGCCATGTTTACCTTTCTCGTCCACACCATGTCCTTCCTCCAAACCCTGTTGGTCCGCCAGTATCTCCTCAGGAACTTGGGTGGCTCAGGCTAAAAAATAAGTCAAATTGCTATAAAATCTTATTAATTAATTTGATTGATAAAAAAAACTCTCGGAACTTCAAAAACAGTAATACGTATGCTGCTAAAGTAATAAGTATGCTGATGAAGTAATAAGTATTCTGCTGAAGTAATAAGTATGCTGATGAAGTAAAAGTATGCTGAGGTTACATGTAAAATACTTTTGATTCACAAAAACTTTTAACAGATCGATCGGTTGAAAACTAAAAAATAAACGTGTTTTCTAATAAGACTTAATAATGGATCTAACTTCTCGAATTTCAAAGTATACTACTAACCTTGAATGTTTAAAAATACAAGAAGAAACAGAAACACTTGGATTAGGAATGGTCGTCTACCTGTGTTGGTACTGGGACTGGTGACACCTTTGTGGGTTGGTCCCTCTGTACCGGGGTGGGGGGTGGTACCCTCTGCTGCTGAGTATGCTCCTACAATACACAATGTTTATTTCAGTTTTATTTTTAGTTCATAATCATACTCCCTGAAAAAAGTGTTCAATCTCTTTAAGCCTCCATAATAATTATAACCCCCTTTTATCAAATTATTGTAAGTTTATCAATTTTTGTCCAAACTTATATCATACGTGTATATCAGTTATCTTTTTTTTTTAATCTCCCCTCCCCTTCCTTTCAAGTACATGTAATTGATAATGAATATTCACTTCTCTTGTCCATTTCTGGTCTTTCCTCCACACACGATTATATCTCCACATTCTCTTTTTCCTTTTGGGTACAACCTGCAAAACACAGGAAATCAGTATGACATCTTTACACATCATTTCTATTATATTACAAACATATTAACCATTTTATATATAGTCAATATACTTCGCACCTCGTCAGATTCCGAGGATGGCAAGGTTCTGGTCTCTGACGAGCCCTCGCCTGATGCATCACCGTTCTGAAATATATATTAAATAAATTTATGAACTTGTATTTCTTTAAAACTCAATCACTAATGAAAATAAAATTTGCTGCAAATAATATTTGGTTTACATTAACGAGAAGGTGCTTTAACTCTAATAATTGATTTAACTCTAACTCTAATATGTAACACACCTGTTTGGGTTGGTCCTTTTTTACCGAGGAGGGGGGTGGCACCCTCTGCTGTATGTTAGTGGCAAGTCCCTAAAAAAAGCATGAATTTCGATCATTCATACAATGAAATTTGTTATATTAATTTATTAGACTCTCTTTCTCTCTCTCTCTCTCAAAATGTGTTTATAAAGTTATTGCAAACATGTTTTGATCATCAAACAGTTCAGTATTTTATTAGCTTATTGAAATTTAGTTCTCCACCAACAGGTCAATACATGTCAAGGCCGTAGGACCCCCCTCCCCCTCCCAATAAGTATGCCGATGTTTAGTATACCGGATAGAAAACAAAACTGCTTTATGTTTGTGTCCCCTCAATAATAAGATCAGATGACCTTTTTTCGTCAAGGAATTTTTGCTTGGTATTGCCCCCCCCCCCCCAAAAAAAAGAAAATGTTTGATTGTCATCCCCACTCCACAAACACACACACACCCGCCCCAACTTAAATCGCTACCTATGGGTCTGTATGTATACAAATCATGTTCACCTCTCGGGTCCATTTCTGGTCTTTACTCCAGACACGGTTGTATCGCCAGGGTCTCTTTCTCTTGGGTACAACCTACAAAACAAAGAAAACATCATCGTTACACCTGTTTACCATTTAGTACATAAATAATACAAATATTCATGATAATTTTGAACGTTTGACAACTTTTATTCTTTAAAGAATAGTCTAAGATTTAGTCTAAGATTATTCTGTATGTAAATGTTTAATATAAAACAGAAAATAATCACAGTTTAGTAAAATTAAGAGAATTCTGCGCCGTACCTCGTCAGGGGCGCAGAGAGGGGATGTTCTGGTTCCCTGGGAGTCCTTGCCTGGATCATCCGGTTTCTGGAATATTAAAAAAAAACAAGATGTGTTTGTGAAACACTGATGCCCCCGTATGGCAACTTATAGCAAAGGTTAAACTTTCTCAAATGCAAATCAAGTATGTTGGTACCCAAAGTAAGGTCTTATCTCGAGGAATATACCTGTGAAATATGAAAGCCCTAACAGCAACAATGAATAGATATGGAAAAGGTTAAAGTTTTTTTTTTCAAAAGTATGTCAAACATCAAGGTCAAGGTCAAATGGTCAAAATTAATGGTGCCCATGGAAACGCCTTCTACCAAGAAATACACAGGTGAAATATGAAAGCCGAAGTACCAATGGTTCAAAAGTTATGACAAAGGTTAAAGTTTTCCAAAAGGAGTCAAACTCCAAGGTCAAAGGGTCAAAGTTGTTGGTATCCAAAGAAAGGTCTTGTCTCTAGGATTACAAAGGTGAAGTATCAAAACCCTAGCACCAACCAATCAAAAGTTATGGCCAAGGTTAAAGTTTTCCAAAAGTAGGTCAAACTCCAAGGTCAAGGTCAAAGGGTCAAAGTTGGCGGTATCCAAAGGAAGGTCTTGTCACAAGGATTACACATGTGAAATATGAAAGCCCTAGCACAAATTGTTCAAAAGTTATGGCCAAGGTTAAAGTTTTCCAAAAGTAGGTCAAACCCCAAGGTCAAGGTCAAAGGGTCAAAGTTGTTTGTATCCAAAGAAAGGTCTTGTCACAAGGATTGCATATTTGAAGTATGAAAGCCCTAGCTCCAACCGTTCGAAAGTTATGGCCAAGGTTAAAGTTTATCAAAAGTAGGTCAAAGGATCAAAGTTGTTGGTATTCAAAGGAAGGTCTTGTCACAAGGATTACACATATGAAGTATGAAAGCCCTAGTTCTAAAGTTATGGCCAAGGTTAAAGTTTGGTAAATTTTGCAAAACTGGGTTAAACTCTAAGGTCAAGGTCAAAAGGTCAAATATGGTGGTACCCAAAGAAGGGTCTTGTCACAAGAAATACACATGTGAAACATGAAAGCCATAGCTCCAACCAATCAAAATTTATGGGCAAGGTTAAAGTTTTTGAGGACAAACAGACAAACGGACGGACGGACAGGGCAAAAACTATATACCCCCGAATCTTCGATACGGGGGCATAAAAAAGAATATGAAAGTTCATGTATACTTGACGTGATTTATACCAAATCTGTGTCTTCACAGTTTAATAAATAAAATACAAGAATTATACAAATACGCGTTTCTTGCGTTTGTTGTTACACAATTGAGTGGTTGCCACGACTGTAATGTACCCCCCCCCCCCCTTAGATATACACACAATATCAGTTAGATTAAATATTATTACATTATATACACTAAAAATACCTACAGTATACTTAATTTAAATTACACTCAATTCGAATTACAATGGGTTAATACATTGCTCACAGTGGCTACCATGTGTGCTTTTATGCCAAAACATCCACATTATTCTAAAAATAATAATAATAATAAAATTAAATAAAATCAATAAATAAATTTTAATAACTTTTGATGAAGGAACATATTTCAATAGATTTGTTTAATTATTCAAAGGTATTTAGTTTTCTATCATCTTCATACTTCACATTTTGAGACTCGACCTAACACTGCTAAATTCTTGCGGAGCTTCCGGGGCTCCTTACCCTTCTGAGCGGGGGGGGGGGGGGGTTAATGCGACCCCAAACCCCCTGCAATCAGAAAAGCATCCACATTACTTTTGCCTAGCTACATCAATGGAGTTTTCGTGTGCATGCACAGTTTTATCAATTATTAGAATGACCACCTATCAATTATTAGAATAACCACCTAAAGTAAAATTCCTTCCCCCCCCCCTCTCCTTTTATTAGCTTATTCATTTTTGTGGTAACTTGCCCCTCCCCCCCCCCCTCCTTCCCACCGGAAGCAGAAAATGCTGACGTTGCCAATGGAAACATGTTACATAATGTAGAGCTAGGAAAATATTTCTTACTCTGATTACATACCAAATTATATGTTCTGAAAACAGTTTCTTCTAAAGAAAGGATCAATTATTAATATTTACCTTTTTATATGATAAATTATCACATTTACATTATCTATATGTATGGATCTAGGCCTAGATTATGTCATAAATCCGGAATAGATATGGAGCAATAACAGCAAAACGTTAGATCTTATGTCTTCAATCATAGAGAACTTCCAGCGAAGAAAATACGTATTACATAACTGTATAAAAACTTTCTTTAGCAAAGATACCAGGATATACTTAAAAGGGACCGATGTACATGAATTTAAGTAGTGTGCTGACATGTCAACATAAACCCTCCGTAACCCCTCCCTCCTTCTTCAAGTAAATATAACAAATAAAATCAATACCAAACTATTTTTTACTGAATTAAACACACAATTTGAGGCATTACCCTCTTATCTTTGTTTTCGTGTATCTTCGGCACCATCTCTTCGCTTAATGCAGTAAAATTGCAGAAAATCGGGAGAGTAAAAAAAATACGTCCGATCCCTTCCACTAAAGCCGTTGGTATGAGACGTAACTACAACACAACGCAAGTCTACTACAAAACGTGATGTCATAATCATAGTGACGTAAGCTACTCCATTCGGATCATGCTCGTCCTTTTCCGTAACCGAAATATTTGCGGTTACGGAAATTGCCGAGTAGTTGAAGCTCGCTGGTCTGAAAAAATTGGGATGGACGACCAGAGAGCTACAGAGCCACCCATAGAAAAAAAACTGTATATTTTATCGCGCACAAAATATCGTGCTCGGTTCTGGATTAATTTCTCCAAATTTTTACCTCAAAAGCTCGATTCCTAAAATCTATCAACTAAATGTATTATCTTAATTGATATCTGCATGAAAAGCATTGACTGAATATTATCCAGCAACTAAAAATCATTAATGGCAGTATAAATAGGCGAAATTTTCGATGGTATCAATTTCAGGCCAGGGAGGGCTATTAACAATGGTTATAAGGAATGTTTTGTTGTGGAAATATTAAAAGACCATGTTAGGAACACACGTTTAATGACTTTGAAAAATACGGAGAAATAATCGAGAAATAGTGCACTTTTTGTGCGCAATAAATATACACTTTTTGCAGCGGGTGGCACCTCCGGTCTGTCAATATTTTTTTTTTTCGGAGAGCTACAGTTCTGCAGCTAGTCCATACTGTTACACAACTTTTATTAACATAATTTACCAAACTTTCAATCTGGAAATTATTTTCATGAAAAGTTCCATATACATGATGAATAAACAACAGGAGCCTGAAGTGTGGATCGATAGCCCCCCCCCCTTTTAATAAAAAAAAATGTAAGAACTTGAAATTTCTCAATAATATAAAATTTCCCCATCAATCACATCCATATGTCGTTCTATGCAAGCAGGTTGTACCATTTCTTACGTTTAGAGAATGGCCTTGTACGGTGTAATACACACAAGGTAAGAAACAAAATTTGTAAACAAACGGGGAGTTCCCTGCTTCAAGACATATTTTCAAGGTAATAACAGTGTTACCTATCATAATTTTGCAAGCACTCTGTCAGGGAGATGTTCTTCTACTAATATCTTTAACCTAAACCCCATCATTAATGTTTTATATGTCGTAATCGGACGATTTATTAATCGGACACATATTTTCTCCATTTACAGCTTTGAAGGAGGTTTTGGAGTTCGCACATCCGTCTCGCTTTATTGGTTAACAGTGATACAGTTTAAATCTTTGAATATAAAAATATTCTTCTTTTGTAAAGCTAAGGAAGTTATATACATGTACTGCACCTCGTCAGACGCCAAGGGCGGCGAAGTTCTCGTTCCGTGGGCGTCCTTGTCTGGATCATCAAACTTCTGAAATATAAAAAGGAATGGGTACATGTATTTGACTATTTGTACTTGTCGAGATTTATAACAAATCTGTATGTTTTCACTGGTGAATCAATCATGCATAATATTCAAAAATTTATAATCGTTTTATAAATATGGGTTCTAAACATGAAAAAAATACTCTTTTTTTTTTTAAATATGACAAATTTTGTTATGATTTTAGATTAATGGAAAATCTTGAGAGTAGACGTTTTCTCTTATATGTGTAATTATAAATGTGTATTTGATGCATTCATATTCACTAATTTATTCGTTTTTTCTTAATTGACTACCACTGAAGCTGAAAT